TATTTTCATGCACGTCATAGTGTCGAAGAAACCTCCATAGCGTTATCTTGTCGACACTTTCAAGTGATTTCTCCTATTCGATGAAGTTGATGTAGAGCGGGCAGTTGCACTCAATTGATTGATCCACGATGATCCACAATGTTGCAATTCGGTCGGTACACGATCGATCCTTACGAAATCCAGCCTGTTGATTTCGAAGTTGGGTATCTACGAAGTCCATCATTCTGCTTACCAACACTATTTCGAGAACATTTCCTGGTATTGAGAGAAAAGTGATGCTTGGTAGTCTGCATCTGACACAAGTAGCAGAAGAGTGACGCCTCTGTAGTTCTCACAACTGCTGAGACCGCCATTCTTTGTTGTTTTGATCAGGTATCCTTCTTTCTGTTCTGTTGGTAATCGTTCGTTGTGCTGTTGTTGCTACATCTTCCACACATTTACGTTTTTCCGCTCTGATACTCTCGTTCACTTCCTTGTATGCTTCTGTGTATTCATCTTGTGCCTTGGTTTACTCTGCTCTTGTTCGAGTGATATTTATTGCTGATTTCTTGTCCTTTTATTATTGAATCTAGGTTAGTGTATCAACGGTGATCCATTCCTTTTGATTGTGCTTCCAATCGTCCGTGGGATTAATGGGTAAATCATATAATGTGAGAATATTATATACTTGTGATTTACTTATTCTGGTTAATGTCTATTAGCTTCCTAAATACAATGTCTTCGCGTGTTTTCTCTTTCGCTTTCACCATAACTTAATCGGTTCACTCCAAAGTGCAATGGTAAAGTTTTTGATGAACAGAAATCATGAATAATCCACATAACACCATCAATCCTGGTGATCGACTGAATTATGAAGACATCAACATCTTGAGGGAAGCAGGGTATACAGAGGACAGCCAGTATTCAGCTGGAGGATTTGCACTACGCAGATGATCTAGCTCTTCTATTGCACACACAACAAATGCAAGAAAAGACGACCAATATAGAAGCAGCCTCAGCAGCATCAGTTCTCTACATACATAAAGGGAAAAGCAAGATTCTTCGATACAAATCAGCATGCACCAACCAAATCACTCTTGATTGAGATGACTTGGATAATGTGAAAACCTTTATTTATCTGGGTAGCGTCATCGACCATCAACGTGGATCTGATAAAAATGTTAATGCACAGATGGGCAAAGCAAGGATAGTGTTTTTACAACTGAAAAACATCTGGAATTCTAAACATCTATCAATATACACCAGTCAGAATTTTCAATAAAAATGTCAAGACAGTTCTACTGTATGTCGCGGAAAATCGGAAAACTACCAAAGCTATCATCCAGAAGACGCAAGTATTCATTAACAGTTGTCTACGCAAAATACTTCAGATCCGTTGTTCAGACACCATCAGCAACAACCTACTATAGGAGAGAGCAAACCAGATTCCCATGGATAGGGAAATCAGAAAGAAGCGGTGAAAGCGGATAGGACACACACTACGAAAAGCACTAAACTGCATCACAAGACAAGCCCTCATTTAGAATCCTCAAGTTAAAATGAAAAGAAGAAGGCCAAGGAATCTATTACACAAAGAAATGGAGACAGACATGAGAAGAGTGAGGAACAGTTTGATAGAACTAGGATGAAAGGCTCGGGATTGAGTAGGTTGGATAAAGCTGACCATCGACCTATGCTTCATTGGAGGTAACAAGCGTAAGTAACTAGGCAAGTGCAAACTTACTACCTACTATTGATAAAACTTTTGTTATGGTATTTTATTTTTGTTACTACTATCAGTACACCTGTCTTCCCAATATTTTTATTGTTGCGTGCGATTTGGTTGGTACATGAATGATCTTTACGGAATCCAGCATACTTATCTCGAATATGAGTGTCTACAGAATCTTTCATTCGGTTTAACAACACTTTGTTGAAGACTTTGCCTGGTATTAAGAGAAGAGTGATGCCTCTCTAGTTTTCACACCTTCTGTGATCGCCTTTCTTTGTTGTTTTGATCAGGTATCCTTCTTTCCGTTCTGTTGGTAGTTGTTCGTCGTGCTGTCATTGCTACATCTTTCACAAATTTTCGTTTGTCAGCTCAGATGCCCCTCTTCACCTTCTTAATTTGCTTCTTTGTATTCAACATGTGCCTTGGCTTTCTCTGATTTTGTTCGACAGATGTTGGATGATCCATTCTTGTTTCTCTTTTCTCTAATTTTTTCAAGAGTACCAACGGTGATCTATTCCTTGTGATTATGCTTCTTGTGACCTATAACCTCGTGATATGTTGAAGTGATTGCATGCTTGATCCACTTCCAGTTGTTCCTTAGGGTAGTTTTCTCTCCATTGAGTGAGTCATGAAGGGTTTAGAATCTATTAATGAGAGTTATCTTGAATTCTTTGAGTTTGCCAGTATCCCAAAGGAAGGTCATGTTAACTTTTGTGATGTTGCCCGCCCCGTAGTCCAATGTTTCTTGAGTTTCACTTTCATCTTGACAACCAGCAAGTGATGATCTAAAGTCTCGTTGTCCCAGCCCTTGGTTCTCACATCCTCCTTCATCCTTCTGAAACTTTATCAATTTGATTCTGTGTGGTGTGATCCGGGAAAATCCATGTAGCTTTGTGTATGCAACTATATGGGATTATGGCGACGATAATCACCATTCTGTTGAAGACACATAGGTCTGTTAATTTATCACCACTTTCTTTCTTTCTACTGTAGTGAGCGAGAACACAGGTGGGGCAACCGAATTGCATTTAACGAAAATTACAGAGTTACTCAGTAAAATTGGAAAACCATATCGTAAATCGTTAATTTGCAAAATATCAATCCATCATCTCGAACTGAACTGTTCCTGTTGCAAAACATCAATCCATTGTCATTATTCATGCGTTTCATACAAATTCCATTGTGTTCTAACTCTTCCTTTCTTGATCTTACCCCATCTTCTGCTGCCAGACATTACGTTGACACTCACGTCATATACTACTTATAAGTAGCTCACGCCACACTACCAGTCCCTGTCATCCATCAATGTCTTCATATCCGGTGTTGTCCATTCCAACCTTGGCGCTTGTTAACAAATTCGTATGAAGATAATATTTGAAAACTTGCTTTTTACAATGAACTTTGCTCAACACATATATCATAAGTTCTAATGAACCGATTAGCTGTGGGATCAAGGGGTAAGTCATGTAAAGCGAGAATATTATATGACTTTGATTTAATGATTCTGGTTGGTGTATAATATTAGCTTACTAACTACAATGTCTTTGCATCTTTTTCTCTTTTGCTTTCATCATGAAGTGATCTTTTCACTCCAGAGTGCAATGGTAAACATTTTGGCGAATGGAAATCATCATCATCGATCTTGGTCAACCATTAAAGCTAAAGGTCTGTAGCTCGATCTCAAATATATTCAAAATTGTGGATTATTTAATATTTCCAAACCATAACTTATTCTATGTTCCTAATATCAGATTATTATTGGACGATTAAATGTAAACCACCCGCTTAATTTTCGTAATGTCCAGAACTTTCAAACTTGTGTGTTTAAAAATGTAAGAATTCTTGTTCTCAATGGTCTAGTTATATATATATATAAAATAAGGAATACTACAACTTCATTTCAAACACAAAGCAGATCTTCCTTTTTTAGCAACTGTTCGTTAACATCTGTTAAAATGTCAAACATTATGTAAACATAAATTAAGATAATTAATTGAGGATTAACATTAACTATTGGTAAAATAAGAAATGTTTCTTAAAACAGCATACTTATGAGATCATCTACAAACTTAGTTATGTAGAGTCATTTCCAAGTCTATTTAAACATGTTACTTGAAAACTAAAAAACGTACAAAGTTAACGTGTAAATTTAGTAAACACTTTGAGGATAGTGGATATTAGCATTGAAATGGGATGAATTCTTTTTATTTTGTAAATATTACCTTTCTCATTAAATTTTAGTAGGTAATTTTGTACCGAATTCGTAATAAGAATAATATTATTTGAAACACTCATCTTATGGGTTTTAAGCCTCATATTCAATTTTTCTCACTCTAAATTTATCTTATGAATCAGATTTCCCTTTGAAAACGTTAATTTTTAAGGACTTCACCAGTGATAATAAATTGACTTAAACAATCCACTCAAACTTTTTTATAGGGAATTTCCATGATACAAACGACAAACAAGTTTATTTTTAATTCACGAATATGTAAGTTTCTTCAAACGATAGAGAAATTTGAAACGGGAATCTAAACAGTTGTGAAAATAACAGAATGTTTGATGTATCACCCATGATTTATATGTATTACGCATCACGGATGTTTGTTGTTCACGATGAGAGAAAATTTGAATGAATTTTCATTTTTACAGCTTCATACTAGAACGAACAGTCAGTTGAATTCTGATAATGAAACTACAATGAATCGAATTCAGGCCTATGTCTTAGTCATAAAAGACGTTACATGTCGTACCACTTAGCAAAACATAATTTATTCACATATATCAACAGTTGACTTGTTGTTTCAATCGTAATCCATGCAATTATTATTTTATCATTCCTATGGAGTATATGCCATCGAGGGAACCGACTAATATTACCATTTGTAAGCAATTAATGAAAAAGGGTGAAAATGATCACAATACATTTGACACGGAAATAATATATACAATGGTTTTGAAGTAAATGCAAGTGACCTAATGATGAAACAATGCTAGCATGTATACCGCCAAAGCGAGTACATGAAACATGAAACAATTCTGTTTGTTGAAGATACATGAATGATTTTCTTCAACTAATTACAGTTAGTTTATCTAAATATGTCAGTGTGTACAGAGGTGATAGACTGTTGATTAGAGCCTATTCAAACTTGTCAGACTTACTGGTAGTAATAATTAAAACAAGACAAACTGTAGAACAATGAAAATCATTAGACATAATTAAATTATTTCATTTTTAATCAAGAAACATACATATAATGAAATAAAACATTGAGAAAATTGATCTTACTGTAGTTTATGTTGATTACAATCAATGAGATCACCATGAAGATCTGTGGAATGTACTCCATAGTCATAGCAATATAAATAAACTTCGACTGCTTGGATTCAAATATACAGAGTCTCAGTGATCACCTACAGTATTTTAGTCAACATTATATAAGAAGTTTTATCGTTAGAGCCTACAGTACATTTCAAGGATTAACCAATTGAAAAAAGCTCAATGTTAATTGGTGTTTGCAAAATGTACTACAGAGGAGTTAGACATGTAATGTTGACTATTTAAATATCGATCGTAGGATGACACTACTTGAGAAATAAGAAGCAATGCACCTCATTTGGACTTATCGAGGTTTTGTTGGTTGTTGATTATTTGTTTACACCAAGTGATGTTAAATTTTCATGTGAGATGAAAATACTTTTTCTTAATTACTTATATATCATGCAGAGATAGAGACATGAAATGACGTAGGTGAATATTTGTGTTTTTACATAGTTTTCAAATGTTGAGTAATGTATCTCGTGAAGAAATATAAGATCAGTTAATTGATAGATGTTCTTAACTGAAAATTTACTACGTTTAGCTTACTGGAATAAAAACACTTTTCTGCTTGACTAGTTTGATAAAGTAACATGAAATCTACAAATGGTTTCCACATGTCATTTAAGTCATTCCAAGTTTGTATTTGATTTGGCAGGTATTCACAGTGACAAGACAGTTCTTATGTTCTGTTTAGAATAATACATTTATGAAAAACAATTACAGTTCTGATTATAATCTCTATGATTAACACAAACACTCAAGAGAATTTACCCAACATAGATAAATCTGTATAGATTCTACACTTAGGTTGTATTTTTATTTGGCAGATTTCAAAATAAACTTAATTTTACTCATAACAAAATCAACATAAGAATATCTAACAGGTATTAGATACCTATACATAGGCAAGCCCGACCACCACGTCAAAGTATCTCCTATGGTCGAGCTGAGCACTTCCAGCTTGGATCTTTTCATTTCTGCTGTAGTTCGTTTGTTCTCGTTATTCGTCTAACAAGAACTCGTAATAGTTTAAGCATACTTAGAGACGAGCATAAGAATTCGGCGACGGCATTTCGCAAAACGATCTGGTGAAATAAGATGGGTGCAGCGAAATTAGATAAATTGTTTGTACAACAGCTGAAATTGATGGAGATACTTAATCAGATGCACACCTCTTCTCAAGTCTCATATACACCGACTATTCACTCAGCGACCTTTTCGGGGATCAGCATTCTCTTTTCAATACACGTTAACGCTGCTTAAAACTGGTCATGAATGAGTCCGATAACTTGATGACACGGAAGACGAAAACAAATCCCCTTACTCCTTGCTGGCACTGTGGTGCATGGCACTATGTACGAAACTGCCCATTTAAGCAACATCAGTGCAAAAAGTGTAAGGTCATAGGTCGTAAAGATGGATTTTCCCCAAAGAGAAAGCCGAACCGATCCAGAAGTGCTAATAAGTCCGTTCCTAGATCCGGTACCAATGCATTAGAATTAATACCTTCCTACCGAAGCTCATCAACAGATGAGAGAAAATTTATTAGTCTTAATATTAACGGGCATTTGTGTAGATGACAAATAGATACAGCATCTGATGTCACCATCCTCTCACGCGAAAATTGGATCCCGTGTACTAATCCCAGCAGAAAAGAAGTATAGCCAGATAGAGAAAGAAGCTCTTGCCCTTGTGTTTCCTGTTCTCCGTTTACACAAGTTTCTGTACACTTCTCGCAGATCACAAGCCTCTGTTAGAAGTATCCGGTTCTAAAGCTGGCATTCCAGCCAATTCTGCAAATCGTCTTCAACGATGGGCCTTGGTGGTTTTGTGGTATGATGTCGAAATCCAATATTGACGCACTCCACAATTCGGTCAAGCAGACGCTTTGTCACGACTCATGAATGATCAAGTGGCGACTGAGGAAAACATGGTGATCGCATCTCTGTCAGTAGAAGACCACGAAGAATGTTATCTGACAACCGCAGTTCACTCATTACCGGTGTCTGCAACAGACACACAAAATGCTTGTAGAAACGACCCCATCAACAAGATGACGATGAAATATGTCAGTAACGGATGGCCGTCGAAGAAGTTTGAGGGTGACATAAAGAGACTGTATCAACGGCTAGAGTCACTATGTATCGTGAACGATTGTTTGATGCTTGGTGAAAGAGTAGTGGTGCGAGAATCCCTTCGTGCAAAAGTTCTGAGACAGTTGCATCTCGGTCATCCTGGGGTTAAACGAATGAAGTCCATAGCCAGGAGTTATGCATACTGGACTCACATGGATCAAAATGTCACAGCGTTGGTTGAAAAATGCATGCGGTTTCAGCAGGCGGCAAAGATGAATGCGAAATTCCGCTGGTTTCACTGCCCAAAACTGAGCATCCTTAGTCCGGGATACATGTCGACTTCGCTGGTCCATTTAATGGAACTATGTATTTAATTGTGGTCAACACCTTCTCAAAATGGCCAGAAATCAGACCCGCAATGCCGACCATGACAACTAAGACTATACAGCTCCTCCTCGAAATTTCCTCTCCAAATGGTATACCAGATGTGATCCTATCTGATAATCGCTCTCAATTCACCTCTACCAAATAACAGACTTTCTGTCAACGACTAGCCATTAAACACTTACGCTCGCCACCATACCACCCGCAATCGAATGGGCAAGCCGAAATGTTTGTGGATACGTTTAAAAGAGCGTTGGTTGAGTCAAAAGTGAAGGGGACGCAAGCCGATGCGTTAAAAAATTTCTTGTACACCTATCGAACAACACCAAATGAGTGGTTACGGGAGCAAAAGTCAACAGCAGAAATCCTGATGGGAAGAAGACTGAAAACGATCCACAGCCTGATGCATCCGACGAATGCACCTACATCAGTTGAGAAAACGCAGCAAATACAATCCGCTTACGAAGTGGGATGCCCTGTGTTCGCCCGTGACAACAGAACAAATCATAGTACCTGGGTAGAATCGTGAGTGTTCAGAAGAGTTGGGAGAGTTATGTACGAAGTAGAGGTCGGAGGCGAAAGCTGGTCGCGCTATCGAAACCAAATACGCAAACGTCTAGCCCCAGATCGTCCATCAAGAGCAGAAAATCATTTCCTTGACGTCCTGCTTGATGCCTTCAACATACCAGCAGCCCCCTCACAAGAAGAAACTCAATCGCAAGCTGATCTCCGTTCCCGAATGTATCCTCTCAGACAGCGGCGAACAGCAGTCAAGATGTAAGTCGACCCCAGTGGCACACGCTATTAATAAGGGGAAGAATGTTGGGAATGTTAGAACGCCAGAACTCGCTTGATAAAAATCTTTATTTTGGATTAATTTCATGGACCGATCAGTTGACATTGAGATCTTATTTCCCACTAGGAACATCCTTAGATGTGATTGGTTACCATCTCATTTTAGTGTGCCATTTTTGTGACTGTCCCAAGAACGTCTCTATAGCGAATAAATAAACGCGATTTGGGTGCTTGGATTCATTGTGTGCTGGCTGGGTGTTTGAAGAATACAATTTCTAAACTATATCAAGACTTCTAGGTTGATTCAATTCGGTCAAGGGACCACAGTAGCCTACTTGGACGTTGGTTCATTGTTTGTTCTCGTTATTCGTCAAAGGTGAACTCGTAATAGTTTAGGCATACGTAGAGACAAGCGTAACAGTCACACACAAAGTAAGAACATTTCATGTACCTAATATAATAGTCACTGGTGGTGATAAGTGACATCACAAACAACATCATTAGGTAAAAGGAAAATCTTTCATAATTCCCTGTAGAAATGCAGATAAATAACTAGTGAACGTGTGAGCAACAGAATCACTAAAATCCAATCATTTCATCCTCAAATTCTAAACACATTTATCTTAACTCACCTTGGTGAAATAAGCCATTGTGTGATGTATTTTATTGAATGTATTGTTATTGCGTACCTGAAAATAGTAGAAAATATTTCGATAACACACACTCACACATCCCCTAACATTAGTAACTCAATCAGCTTTCTCAATTGTGTTTCATATGCAAAAATTCGAAACAGAATGTATTTTATTGACATTCGATAGGTTTTCGCATTACTTCAGTCGGCAAAATCACCAACAACAATGCTAGTTGATAGAAAACAATTCTGTGAAGGATAAAAATCACACGAGTGATGAATTATGCATATGCTGATGGTTGTTTGTCAGATCGCCTGCCATACAAGTAAGTAAGAAAGTTTTGTTCTGATATCAAAAGTTGATCGATGATGTTTTCTTTCTTACATTTTATGTTTACACTGTGAATGACAGGCGATTGATGTTGAAAATGTAACAACAAGTAAACTAGTTAAAAATTAGTTTTTGTGTGTGTAACTACGAATTGGCATAGATAATTATTATTTATCTGTGAACAACAGATAGTAGCATGTATAAACATGTGTATATTGTTTTAGTGGTGAGCAAATGTAGTAAGTTGACAATGCTGACTTCATACGAAGCAAAAACATCCATTTATTCTAATATGATTCATTCAAATGATTTATAAATAACAACTGAAATACAATACACCAAACATATCCATTGTATAAATACGTCCACTCAATAAATCATAGTTCACTGACGTGTAGTCACTGACTGATCAAGCTGACATTCATTTGTCACCAACATCCATTGAAGAACAAGTTGTGTCATTGGAAATTCAATTTCGTTAACAATTACAACTATTAATACTGCATGCTACGGAACCCCGAAATGTCGATTGCAAGTAATGATCTGAGTCTCTCTGAAGGATTATATTTCTAAGTATGTTTTCAGTGATGTATCTGTTAAGGTTCAGTTTTCAATGTGAAAAATAAGAGAGTTAATTACTTTTTTTATTGATTTTAATACACTACTGATAAATCAACTCATTCAAGAGAAATATCAAAATTATCATGGTTTTTAAATAAAATTTGTCGATTGTTTATGTGATAATTGTTTGTAGTTATTATTATTCATTATGTTTACTGATTGTTACCAGTTGATATCAATCAAATTAACTTGATCAAACAAGACATTACAGTTGTTGTTGTTGTTGTTGTTGACAATTGATGATATACAATGCATTTGACTATGAGTTTATTATTATTGTTATTATTATTATTATTATTTTTGTTGTCGGAGTTACTAGTGTGGAAGTATAATTAAAGAATTATCATCAAGCATTCAGACTTCTCTTATGAACAAGAAGTGGCCTACTTGTTAGGATACTTTTGCATTTGGAGCAGTGGACAGATATATATCATGATCCGGTATGCACATGATTTCATATGTGACACTCCAACCATATTGATGAATAAAATTCCATGTGGTGGATACTACCTGCGACGCTGCTTATGAATGAGTGTTATGCAGTTTGTCACCAATAAGTCTCGACCGAAATGAGGTTTCTATTTTAACGCTTGCTTTTATTAATACCCAGCTAATTTATATTGCTTTGTGTTCTCAACCACAATACACTGGACAAGTTTCAATGTATCAAAAACACGGTTTAACAGGAAAAGTTTTAATTCCAAATAGCAAGGTTAAATGGAAATAAGAAGCCGAAGTTGATTGTGATGGTGATACGAGCGAAGAGAACGGCTTCAGAAGATTTGTAGTTATACTCCGGCAATGAAGAAAAAATGCTCCGCATACACACAGTTGGACTGATGCTCCCCAAACAACCACAAATGCACTGATAGAATAGTACTTAATTGTCTTCCACAAAATGGTGATAGGCGAAATCATATGGCCAAACAAACAAACAAATAGACAATGCTACATGGATTTCACCGGATCATACCACACAGAAACCAATCGACCATGTCTGCAATAATAAAACGTTCAGAAAGACGATGGAGGACGTTAGAACCAAGGACTGAGGGAACAAGGCTTCAGATCATCACTTGCTGGTCATCAAGATGAATCTGAAACTCTAGAAGTACTGGACAACTGAATTAACAGAATTACAGAAATTGAAAACGGCCTTTTCGGGATACTGGCAAACTTAATGATGGGTTCCAGATCGTTCCTGATCCAATCAATGGATAAGAAACTACGATGGAGAACAACTGGAAATGGATGAAGGAGGCAATAGCTTTAGCGTGTGCTGAAGTTCTGGGACACAAGAAGCGCAATCAAAAGGAATGGATCACTGTTGATACACTGAATTAGATTCAAGAAAGGAGGGATAAGAAGGCAGCAATAGATATCGCTCGAAAAAGAGCACAAGCTGAATACACAAAAACAAACAAGGAAATGAACAGGAGTATCTCTGCTGACAAACATAAATGTGTGGGAGATGACAGAAGGACGAACAACTACCAACAGGACGGAAGGAAGGATACATGATCAAAACACCAAAGAAGGACGATTTCAGCAAGTGTGAAAACTACAGAGGTATCAACCTTCTATCTGTACTAGGCAGTCTTCACCTAGGTGTTGTTTAACTGAATGAAAGATCCTGTAGACGCTCGAATTCATGAAAAGTATGCTGGATTCCGCAACGATCATTGGTGTACCAAACAAATCGCACGTGAAAATACTGATCATTGTCGGATAACCGATTGAATGGAACTCATCACTTTACATCACTTTAATTGACTATGAAAAAGCGTTCAACAGTATGGACTGGATGACACTATGACGTGCATTAGACCAGAGGCAACGTTATACGAAATTCATATGATGGATTAAACTATAAGTTCATGAATAGAGGGTAGCTCACAGACTCGTTTAAGTAAAGACTGGTATCAGTCAAGGTTGCTTGCTCTCACCCTTCTTGATGGTCGACTTGACTGTGAAGATGTCAGAATCTGAGGGGTACCATGGAATACAGTGGATAGCTCGGATACAGCTGGACTATCTAAAATTCGCAGATGATCTAGCCCTTCTATTCCACACGATTCAACAAATGCAAGAGAAGAACACCAGTGTATCAACAGCCTCAGCAGCAGTAGGTCTCAACATACACAAGGGAAAAAGCAAGATTTTTGAAGGCAACACAGTATGCGCGAACCGAATCATACTTGACGGAGAAGCATTAAAAGATGCAAAAACTTTGACATAACTCGACAACGTCGTCGATAAACACAGTGGAGCTGATGCAGCAAAACAAAGACAGCATTTCCACATTTGGAAAACATTTATAACTAAAAATAACTATCAACCAACAAAGTCATAATTTTCATTACAAATCTCAGGACGGTTCCAATGTACATGGAGGAACTTGGAAAACTACCAAAGCTATCATCCAGAAGATACAAGTGTTTACTAACAGTTGTCTACACAAAATACCGAGGACTCGTTGACCGGACACTATTAGCAACAACCTGATGTGTCGGAGAACAAACCGGTTTCCTTTGGCTGAGTAAGAAAGTATGAATGGCTTACTGCATTTCGAAATATCCGCTTATTTATCAACGATTTTCGATTTTAGCCACAGAATACATGTTTGTGGATTATTTGATTAAAACAGATATAACATTTAACCTCAAAACAGTTTCAAAGGTTCAAATTTTCTCTCCATTTAAACAACGAAGAAGAATTTATATTAAAAGACAAACTAATATTATACTAACGCTAAACAGTCCTTTTTTGAAAAAATTAATCAAGCACTTATGCTAAATATATGAATGCAGATACTGATGTTGGAAGAAAAATATTATCGTTATCATCAAAGATAACAGAACTTAATTGTTATACAATCGACTGTCATATTGTGGTGCGCGCTACTTATAAGTAGTATATGACGCGAGTGTAAACGTAATGTCTGGCAGCAGAAGATGGGGGGAAACCAAGAAAGGAACAGTTAGAACACAATGGAATTTGTATGAAACTCATGAATAGTGAAATGTCAGACAATGGATTGATGATAGATTGAAGATTTGCAAGTTACGATATGGTTAACGAGTTACGATATGGTTTTCCTATTTTACTGAGTGACTCTGTAATTTGCGATAAATACGATTCGGTTGCCCTCACCTGTGTTCTCCTTCACTACAATATCAATTTTGTGATGGTTTGAATAGCAATGTATAAAGTCCTAGGGTTAGCAACAAGAATCAAGGCCTATATCCTTTCCAATTTTTAAATGTGACTTTAACCACATTCTTAACACATTGTAGAAGATGAAGATGATTGACCCTCTAGCTCTGACTCATGAATAGAAAATGTATTCAGAAACCAAGTACTTTCACTATTTTTCTCTACCCTTTTTCGCATGTCCTCTGAGAATAGTATCAATTCATTTTTGAAATGACCTAGTCAGAATGGAGAGCAATTCATGATGTGTTACGTAGATAATACTCTATACTATATGAAAAGTAGATTCATTTCAAATACACTTTATTCCTTTCAGAAATGAAATATTTGTTACTGTCCTCATTCAATCCTGAATTATTTACTGAAAAGACTAAGAAATCAAATGTTAACTCGTTAAGAATTCAGTAAAACTTTTCCAACAGAAATAAACAGGCTTTACTACACTTAGTAGTTTCTTATATTGGTATTACGCATAACATCATGTCTGACTTAGAGCTTTATTCGTATCGAAATTATTCTCATGTGACTGGATAAAAATCTAATGTAAAATAATGCATATCAGTCGAATTACTTTGATACACAAATCAACTAATATCAAAACAATAATGCTGATTGTATGATAGTTTGACATTCTTAACCTACATCATTTTCTAAATTTCTAGAGATGTCAGAGATTCTAACTCAGATTGATAGTGTTGAAAGACTTTGATGTTATGCCTGTCAAGAATGATCAACCCTGGAAAGACTAAGATTACATTCAAAAACCATTTGTAAATTCAATGTTCATTTTGAAAGTCAGTTAAATGTACTGGTTATTATTTCTCAGATAAAGTTTTTGTGGGCTTAATCGACCTATCTTAGAAAATATTACTTATTGCAAGTTATGCTCCGTGAAACGGGTATATAATACACATTTTAAAAGTATATGAAGGCATAACAACTCGCCGTTGTTACTCGACTATAAATGGCTTCTTAAAAATTTGTCTAGTTAAGACATAATAGTAGACAATAGGTAGACAGACAGTTTGTATCATACAACAGTCTAGGAAATCTGAATTATGCGATACATTGACACACCAAGGTCAACCGTGAAATTGTTTAAATAATATTACAACTTTGTCTGTCTAGTGAGTGAATAGTCTGTACTATAGATACAAACACCAATAACATGTACTTTTTCGGTTGGCCAATAATCTGACTGATCTTCAAGGTTAAATTATACTACGCTAGTTTCCTAAGGTCTTGACTAAAGTACAGTGGGCAATGATTTGGACAATATAAGTCTGTAATAATAATAATAATCGGATCCTACTAGTTTAGCTATCACAATGGAGTATGCTTTACAGATATCATCACTGGGGATCCTGCTGATTTTATTTAATATAAATGACAGTAAGATAACTTTTTAATGTTTCATTTTAATATAAGATGTCTCTTTTATAAATAATATAAGCGAATATCAGTAGATTATAGAAAATGGAAACAGACTTTCACTTGACTGTTTAATGTTTCATTTAAATGATTAAGAAACCGTCACGATACCAGTAACTAAAAGTCAATCTGATGAAAACTGGTGATCTTAAATGGGACTATAGACATGAAACTTACTTACTTACTTACTTTCGCCTGTTACCCCAAATGGAGCATAGGCCGCCCACCAGTTTTCTCCAACCAACTCTGTCCTGGGCTTCTTCCTCCAGTTCTGTCCAATGTTTGTTCATTCCTCTCATATCTTTCTCTATTTCACGGCGTAATGTATTCTTTGGCCTTCCTCTTTTCCTTTTGCCTTGAGGGTTCCAAGTGAGGGCTTGTCTCGTGACGCAGTTAGGTGCTTTTCGTAGAGTGTGTCCTATCCACTTCCACCGCTTCTTCCTGATTTCCTCCTCCACTGGAATCTGACTTGTTCTCTCCCACAGTTCGTTGTTGCTGATGGTGTCTGGCCAACGAATACGAAGTATTTTACGTAGACAGCTGTTAATAAACACTTGTATCCTCTGGATGATGGCTTTGGTAGTTCTCCATGTTTCCGCTCCATACATTAGAACTGTCTTGACATTTGTATTGAAAATCCTTAATTTGGTGTTGATTGATATCTGTTTGGAGTTCCAGATATTTTTCAACTGTAGAAATGCAGCCCTTGCTTTGCCAATCCGTGCCCTCACATCTGCATCGGATCCACCTTGATTGTCGATGATGCTGCCCAGATATGTGAAGGTGTTAACGTCCTCCAAGGCATCTCCATCAAGAGTGGTTTGATTGGTGCATGTTGTGTTGCATCGGAGAATTTTGCTCTTTCCTTTATGTATGTTGAGACCTACTGCTGCAGAGGCTGCTGCTACACTGGTCGTCTTATCTTGCATTCGTTGTTGAGTGTGCGACAGAAGAGCCAGATCATCTGCGAAGTCCAGATCGTCCAGCTGCGTCCTAACTGTCCAGTTGATACCGTGCTTCCCTCCAGATGTTGACGTTTTTCTTAATCCAGTCGATTGACGACCAGGAGAAAGAGAAAGGGTGAGAGTAAGCAACCTTGCCTGACACCGGTCTTCACCTCGAAAGAGTCGGTTAGCTGTCCTCCGTGCACGATTTTGCAGTTGAATCCATCATAAGAGTTCCGTATGATGTTAACTATTTTCTCAGGCACCCCGTAGTGTCGAAGAAGCCTCCACAGTGTTTTCCTGTCCACGCTATCGAATGCTTTCTCGTAGTCGATGAAGTTGATGTAGAGTGGTGAGTTCCATTCAATTGATTGTTCCACAATGATCCGTAATGTAGCAATTTGGTCAGTACAAGATCGATCCTTCCGAAATCCAGACTGTTGATCTCGAAGTTGGGCGTCTACGAAGTCCTTCATTCTGTTAACAATACTCTGTTGAAGACTTTGCCTGGTATTGAAAGAAGAGTGATGCCTCTGTAGTTCTCACACTTGCTCAGGTCGCCTTTCTTTGGTATTTTGATGAGGTATCCTTCTTTCCAATCTGATGGTACTTGTTCCTCATCCCAAATCTTCTTGAAGAGGATGTGAAATATTTTCGCAGTTGCTTCTACATCTGCTTTCATTGCCTCTGCTGGAATGTTGTCTGGTCCTGCTGCTTTGCCGTTCTTGATTTGTCTGATGGCCATACTGATCTCCTCAATCGTAGGTGCGCCAATATTAATTGGGAGGTCCGTGGATGCTGCTTCGATGTTGGGTGTGTTCAGTGGAGCTGGTCGATTCAATAGTTCCTTAAAGTGCTCTACCCACCTATTTCGCTGTTGTTCAGTGTTGCTGATTACTTTGCCTTCCTTGCTTTTCACTGGTCGTTCTGGTTTACGATAGTTCCCGGCGAGCTTCTTTGTAGTTTCATACAATTGTCTCAAGTTTCCGTCTCTAGCAGCCTTTTCCGCCGTCATTGCTAGATCTTCCACGTATTTTCGTTTGTCAGCTCTGATGCTCTTCTTCACTTCCCTGTTTGCTTCTGTGTATGCAGCTTGTGCGGTAACTTTCTCCGCTCTTGTTCGGCTGACATTGATTGCTGCTTTCTTGTTCCTCCTTTCTTCAATTTTTGCAAGAGTATCAACAGAGATCCATTCCTTATGATGCTGCTTCTTGCGACCAAGGACCTCCTGACATGTTGAAGTGATTGCCTCCTTAATCCCTTTCCAATTGTTCTCCAATGTTGTGTCCTCTCCATTGTGTAGATCCTGAAAGGCCTGGAACCTATTGGTGAGGGCTATCCTGAATTCGTTGAGCTTTACAGTATCCCGAAGAAAGGCCGTATTAAACTTGTGTGATGTTGTCTGTCCCGTTGTCCAGTGCTTCTTTAGTTTCAGTTTCATTTTGGTGATTAGCAAATGGTGATCTGAGGCTACATCAGCTCCTCTCCTGGTTCTCACATCCTCCATGGTCCTTCTGAACGTTTTGTTGATACAGATATTATCAATTTGGTTTTGAGTAGTGTGATCCGGTGAAATCCATGTGGGTTTGTGAATGCGTTTGTGCGGGAATATTGTGCCACCGATGACCAGTTTGTTGAAGGCACATAGGTTTGCAAATCTCTCACCGTTTTCGTTTCTTTCTCCCAGTCCATGTCGTCCCATGATGTCTTCATATCCAGTGTTGTCCATGCCAACCTTGGCATTCAGGTCTCCCATAAGAATCGTCAAATCCTTTGGTGAACATTTCTCGACGATTGACTGCAGCCTTTCGTAGAATTGATCTTTGTCGTCGTCATTGTAGTCGTTGGTAGGTGCATAACATTGGATGACGTTCATTGTAATATCCTGTTTCTTTGTTTTGAAGGATGCTTTGATGATCCTGGGTCCATGAGATTCCCATCCTATTAGTGCCTTTTGTGCATGTTTGGACAGCATCAATGCAACTCCTTGTGTATGTGAAGCATTTTCCTCTTCATGACCAGAGTATAACAGCATTTCCCCTGAAGCAAGTCTCAGTTGTCCTACTTGTGTCCAATGTGTTTCACTGATTCCAAGCACCTCGAGGTTGTATCTTTTCATTTCTGCCGCAACTTGAAATAGTCTTCCAGTCTCCCACAATGTACGAACGTTCCATGTACCTAAGAGAATGGTTGCTCTGGTTGTGAGAAGAGGCATCAGCCCCGTGACTTCCGAGGGAACTCGGCTTTCATCACGCGACGTCATAATTCTTCCTCCAACTCCCAGGGCAGAGTTAAAATGGTTTGAATTATTTTTTCTGGTTAGCGTTTTTTTGGCAAGTTAGTTTTTGACGGAATGGGGTCGCCAACCCTATGTCCAACCCTCCACCTTTACCCGGGCTTGGGACCGGCAGTAGCCCCTAAGGTTCTACTGGCGGAGTTATAGACATGAAACTTGAATGGGGTTAAAATGTTTGTGGAGAGTAATATACGGAATCAAAACACGCCTGGATGCGTTGTGAATGGAATAAGTCCGTATGGTTTCGAAATAACTTTTAATTTCATCGGATATTTTCTGAACATTAAATCTTATAACCATGAAGAGAAATCCCTAATTCACAATCTTATTGTTCTAGTATTTCACCAATTGTTTGCTTGAAAGAACACTGGTGATAGGCAGAGCAGACATACATATACAAGGGAACTAGGCTATTAGACATACTTAAAACTTTAAAAATATCGAAATCATTAAGAAAAGTAAGGATTTCAAGTTTACCGTCAGTTGAATCATTTCATATGACTTGAAATTTTTCATCTTTTTAGGTAAGAACAAATCATTGATCCACACATAAAATTCAATGACTAACTGTGGAAACAGTTATTAGTTTCTGTAGGTTTCACTCTAAAAACCAGTATTTTCTAAATCGGTAGTTATGTAATCTGGATTACCAAATCATGTGTAGTTTTTGTTAAATTCAAAACTAAAGTATTTTTATCATTTATACTCGATTACCGTACAATAGAGATTTTACGATATTCTTCAATAGCTGTCACATTTAAATGAACAATGACTGGTTTTGAAATTAGGATAAACTAATAAATTCAAACTCATTTTCTTTTACTGCCATATTTACTGAAATCGGTTGAACTAAATAACAGATATTTTATTGAACGTTCATAGGAAAAGATTTTAAGCTAACTATGGCGTCATTCGTTGTCAGTCAAGAATAGTTTTAATTTTCTTACAACTGTATTTTAATGTATCAAGAATATCTGAAGTTAATAAGTGTGGGTGTAGGAAGGATTTGATTTCGACCAAATTGGTCTCTCGTGCTGTTACGGGTATGAGGGCGATTGTCACTTCCTGGCTGCCCACACCGTGGAAGGTTGTTTCTTGAGGGACCTGAAAAGGAAGATAGATTAGTTTTGGTCTTGGAGACCTGGGAGCGTGACCGCAGAGTCCAAGGGACAACTGCTTGAGTCCGGTCAGGCACGGCCTTTTTATGAAAGGTATTTTGAGGATTAGCTCCGTTCTTAAAGGCTCTTAGTGGGCACCCTTACCGCCGAGGATGGAAATCCGTGACATTTTTAGGGCCGACCTTTTCTAACCACTTCCTTCCTTGTGGGAAGGCAGCATCGCTGCAGATGCTGGTTGTCCGAGAGAAACACCTTACTGCTGTCACACCCCTGTGCAGTAGTCAGCAGTACGACTTCGCCCTCAGACCTTGGCTAGCTGCTTTTAGTCTCATCGTTCTCCAATCGACCAGCCTGGCATGGTAGGACCTGCAGGAACATATGTTCCAGCCAGTATAACTCGGTTGGGTCATCACGATAGTCAAGCCCGACCACCACGTCAAGGTAACAGCTATGGTTAGGTGAAGTTAATGAAGGATAAGACAAATATGAAACATAATATTTAATTCCCTGTAACCTGGCATTTTAAGATGATGCTACAAACTACATGTAACAACTTAATCGAAAGTTAAAATATTCAATGATTTCCAATTATATCTTAGGTTTAAAACTTGTTCCCTCAGCAAGTTGTGATAGAACTACCCCACTACGATTTTATTACTCAATAATTCATTTAACAGAATATTTTAAGTATACTTCTGGAATATAATTCATACCGAAAACTATTAATTCTGTCTGTTTCAACAATTTTGGTCTGGAATTAGTTGCTACTTTAGTGAGTTGTTCTATAGTAACAAAACTATCATTCAAAATAATTTTGTAATTGTCATTTTCTACAGGTTCTTTTAAACAAACTACTCATACAAATGATAGTATTATTTCTATTTTGTATACACTAAATAAGTATAAATAAATATAATTTCGATTGTAATCAGTGAGATTAGATATATTACAATCTTAGATTTCCTAGAGATATAAAATATAATTGCTTTTCTGATTGTCATACAAGCGTTGACTCTTTGTCAGTCAGTCAGTCAGTTGCAACGTAGAGCTTCGTACGTATGTACATAAGTTCATGTTGCCATACCACATTAGCACAGAGACGCAAATGTCAAATCAAATCTCATAGTGATAAAGATAGTAGAGGTATTAATGGTAATGAAGAAGAATAGGGTTTGAAGATATTATTCAAGAAGTATAATTCAGTGAGATAAGGTTAGAAAGACAAAGGTAGAGAAAGTGCTGACGAATCCAGAAGATTAGAATTTGAGAGAGCTCAAAGAATGGATGCACTTGAGCCATTGCAAACGATTTTGAGCCATGTGGTTCAAGGTCTCTAACCATTGGTTATTTTCGTCTCGCGGACCTCAACCAGGTAGCCTACATCTACCAACATGACTCAGTCTACTTGTCATTGACTTCATGGATTTCTGCCATGTTTTGGTTTGGCCGCCCCTAGCTTTCTTCCAACCTACTCCTACACCACAAAACATAGCTCGACGAGGCAGTCGGTGGTTAGCCATACGTAACACATGTCCCAACCACCTCAATCGATGAAGTTTCACCACTTCATCTATTGATCTACCATCCTTACCCAGTACTCGTTTCCTAACGACAGCATTGCCTAATCGGTTGTCCCACGATATACGAACAATGCTTCTTAAACACCTATGATCGAATACCAGTAACCTACGAACATCTTCTACTCTTAACGGCCATGTTTCACATCCATATAGGAGAATGGAGCGAACTGCTGCGCAGTACAGATTGACTCTTTGTAATATATTTACACTTACAAAACTACCATATTCGTTGTTATCGCTTCATGCTTAGATGTACTGGTTTGATCGACACCTTTCCATTTTATTTTCAAGATTGTATAAATATCTATTCAGTTGTATATATCCATTACATATATGTTGTTGTTAGCATTACTGTGAATTCTGCTTCTTTGTTTAGTCAATAAACTCTTAATCAAATCATGATTAAAAAGCAGGTGTTGGTATAATTTAAACAGACTTACAAATTTAGCAGTACCGTTAAATTTCATTATTTGATTTTCAGGTTTCTCTTTAAAATGCTTTGAATGCGAAAACTGTCCAGATCCTTTCAAGAATACATCTTCAGTGAGAACAAGAGATCAGTGTGCGTGGTGTGCAGTAAGTGCAATGAATAACTTATTTATAGAATTTTAATAAGTATTTCTTTTATTTTTTTTTTTCTAAGTTAAATATGAACTAAAGTAGTGAGCCGTTATTAATTAATCTAGTTGAGAGCTTCCTCAAAACACTAGTTGTTGATCTGTTGAATTTCTGATGATAGCTGTAGTGTACAAATACAGCTAGCCAACTGTTTTTTAAGTGACAGAAAGTGATCTATTCTATTATATCTTAAGAAGCAATAAACCTTAAATGAAAACGACTTCTTGATTGTTTCAAGTTATTTAAATCTTAAGACAAGTTACCACAACTTCGGTTGTGTGCATTTTGAGCAACTTGAATTCATCGTCAGGTTTACAGAATGTTGTCTGTTTACTAACACTAAAAGAATAGTTAAGCCTAATAGAGAAATGCACTTGATAACTGTGCAAAATGATACGTCTAGAAAAAAATACAGTTATCGATGTACTACTCATTGATTAAAGTGGCCTACAAATGCTTATTTTGCCAATAAGGCTGGACTATAAAGTCGGAAATAATTTCTACAAGCTTGTTTCACATTGACCTGACATATTATAACTTTTCTTAGCATAACGATAGTAAATAAATTTCATTTTTATGTCTTTTATTGTAGAAAATCCTAGTAAAAACTACCGGAGTTATAAACAGAGAATGTGCACCTAAATGCGAATTTGATTATTGGGCTCAAAAATACAAATCACTTTCTTATTATTGTTGTCAAACTGAATATTGTAATAAAAATATACAAACTCGTACAATACATCAAATACTACTTATCTTTGTAATAACACTCACTTGTTTCTTCATAATTGAGAAGAAATGAAACAAGCCAAAACATGATCATTTATCCTAATTAATTACCTTCATTAGCATGCTCTTTACATTTTATACATTTCATGTACGAACTATTTATATATATATATATATATATCATTTTATTGTTTACTTAATAACTTCATAATTCACTAACAATCTTTTATTTTTATCTCTAATCTAAATGAATGGACACGACTCAAACGATGAAGTTTTTATTTGATTGTGAAGTTAAATCTACAAAACTGAGTAATTATGTGTGTGGATATTTGATATATTTGATTCAATTTTGAATGTTAACATCAACTGTTTAAACAAAATTTCCAAGGCATTGACGATCAGAACTTATAAATTTTCTAATCTATGGAAAATCAACCGTTCATAATATACATGATATAAATTAGGTGTTGTAACATCAAAAGTTTAAACTAGAGCTCTTTGTGTGACTTTATAGGATTGTTTAAAGTATTGAAGTTCTTGTGAGTAAGTGATCAAGTGACTCATTGATTTGTATGGTTTCAGACGTTACATATTCTCGTGACATTTGCAGCTAGCATACGTTCACTGGAATGACAAATACCCTTATGATACTTACTAGTCTACGAAGTTTTGAATTTCAAGTTATGTAAACTACAAGTTGGTCAATAAGAAATCCTACTACAGAAATATTGTCAGACTATTTACACTAACTAACTGGTATGTTTCTCCAACAAACTGATACGGTGCATAAAATCATTTATCTAATAAGTACCTATCTAAATCGTAACCAATTCAATATTTCTAGTGCTGCCTATGTCTCGACTGCAGCTGCCACCTTCACATGAAGGTCGGACTTGCCTATCTTGAGGACTCAACCGAGCTATATTGATTGGAATACAAGTTCCTTAATGTTCTTCCATGCCAGGAAGGTCGATTGGAGAACGGTACGACTCAAGGACTGAGGGTGAAGTCTTACTGCAGACTGTAGAGATATGTGACAGCAGTAAGGTGTTTCTCTCGGACAACCAGCATCCGCAGAGATGCTGCCTTCCTCTAACAATGGAAGGGAGGGGCAAGAAAAGGTCTACCCTAAAAATGTCACAGTTCACCTTACCTCACGGATTTCCGTCTCTGGTGGTAAGGCCTTTTGAAGAGCGGAGGTGTGTAACCAGTATCAAATAGTTGTCGTTTGAGCTCAGTGATAATGCTTTGAGGCTGCAAAGACCAATGCTAATCAAATTTCTTCTTCAAGTTCTTTAAGAAATACACTTCCACCATGTAGGCAGCCGGAAAGTGATATCCGACTTCATAGCCCTAATAGCATACGAGATCAACTTGTTAACGACTTACTGAGAGGCGCTTAGTGGGTGCATTAAAACCCAAGTAAGACTCACAACTAGTGGTATGTGATCTGATTTCGGTTTGGACGAATGTTAGGGTACGAGATGAAATAAATCTCCCCTTACATTTCCGTATATCATACTTAATCAAACTCTGTATGTGCGACGGTGTTGATAAAAAATTAAATGTAGTTTTGCGGATGAATTTCTTCCATGCAGTCGTTCACACAGACAAGAAAATATGAAGCGCTAATGAAGAGCTAAGTGAATCGGAGAAGGTAAGCGAGCCAAATGACTATATGCATTTATAGTCAGACCAAAATAAGTCAGATTTGCGATAAGCGAAGTAAGCATGTACACACTCAAAAAAAGAACAACTGAGGTTGTGAGCGAATAATACGCAAGATCGAAAGACGGGTGAATGCTAGCTTGGGAAGAAAGGGCTGAGACAGGCCGCGTTTGCTCGACATATAAGTATTTACTTACTTACTGATGTCTGTTACCTCCAAATGGAGCATAGGCCGCCGACCAGTGTTCTCCAACCTACACCGGCGAGAGCTTCGCTTTCCAGTTCTGTTCAATTTTGAATCATTCTTCTCAAAGCTTTCTCTATTTCTCGGCGTAATGTGTTCTTTGGGGTTCATCTTCTTTCGCCTTGAGGGTTCCATGTGAGGTCTTGTCTTGTGACGCAGTTCGGTGCTTTTTGCAGTTTGTGTCCTATCCTGTTCCAGCGTTTGTTCCTGATTTCCTCCTTCGCTGGAACCTGGTCTGCTCTCTTCTACAGTAGGTTGTTACTGATGCTTTCTGACCAACGGATCCGGAGTATTTTGCGAAGACAACTCTTGAGGAATACTTGTATCTTCTGAATAATGGCTTTCGTTGTTCTCAAGTTTCTGCATCATACAGTAGAACTATTTTGACGTTTGTATAGAAAATCCTGATTTTGATATTGATTGATGGTTGTTTGGAGTTCCAGATGTTTTAAAACTGTAGAAATGCTATCCTTGCTTTACTGATCCGCTCCTTCACATCTGCATCAAATCTACCTTCCTCATCAATGATGCTGCCCAGATATGTAAGGGTGTTAACGTCCTCCAAGGCATCTCCATCAAGCGTGATTTGATTGACGCATGTTGTGTTGTATCGTAGAATATTAATTTTTCCTTTATGTATGTGAATACCTGCTGCTGCTGAGGCTGCTGCTACACTGGTTGTCTTCTCTTGCATTTGTTGTTGCGTATGCGATAGGAGAGACAGGTCATCTGCGAAGTCCAGCTGAGTCCAATCTGTCTATTGGAAACTGTGCTTCCCTCTAGATGTTGACGTCTTCATAATCCAGTCGATCACCAGGAGAAAGAGAAATGGTGAGAGTAATCAACCTTGCCTCACACCGCTCTTCACCTCGAAAGAGTCTGTGAGCTATCCTCCACGCACGATTTTGCAGTTGAATCCATCATAAGAATTCCGTATGATGTTAACTATTTTCTCAGGCACACCGTAGTGTCGAAGAAGCCTACACAGTGTTTTCCTATCCACACTATCGAATGCTTTCTCGTAGTCGATGAAGTTGATGTAGAGTGGTGAGTTCCATTCAATTGATTGTTCCACAATGATCCGTAATGTTGAGATTCGGTCAGTACACGATCGATCCTTACGAAATCCAGCCTGTTGATCTCGAAGTTGGGCGTCTACGAAGTCCTTCATTCTGTTTAACAATACTCTGTTGAAGACTTTGCCTGGTATTGAAGGAAGAGTGATGCTTGTGTAGTTCTCACACTTGCTGAAATCGCCTTTCTTTGTATTTTGATGAGATATCCTTATATCCAGTCTGTTGGTAATTGTTCTTAATCCCAAATCTATTTGAAGAGAGTGTGGAATATTCTTGCAGTTTATGCCGCGTCTGCTTACTTAGCTTCTGCTGGAACGTTGTTTGGTCGTTCTGTATTTATAATGATTTTTTCTCTAAACTGAATGATTTAGCCATAAAACTTAAATTGTTTCTCTAGACAAAATTATCAGCAAAACTTCAGGTAAAAGTGAAGTGTTCAAATTCTCCTACATATTACTATCAGATTGTTCTGTCAGATTTGACCATGATTGATTATTGTGCTCTGTTAGTCATATTTAAGTGGCTCAGGATTCGCTTTCAATTAAGATGAACGAAGAAAGATGCCATGACAATAAATATCCCATTTAATTCCATCTATTACACTTCTGCTTGCCCGTTTTGTATGATGGCAGTAATAAGAATTGAAATACAGATTCACTTTGACAAGTTTATTTTATGCGGTCATTTACGCAAAACAGATCATTGTGAAAACGAAAAGTAGGCACACTAAGTGAAGTAGAGAAAGCAAGGGGGCAAAGTCCTTTATAATTCTCTCCCTGCAATCATTAATATAGCTGCAAGTAGATTATGATTGTGTGACGAAGAGACAGGCACTGGATGAAAAGCTAGTGACAGACATAGAATTACAAAGACATAAATATGCGAAACATGTGTTCTAAAGGTCACAGTTTCCTGTGAAAGACAGAGTTAATAAGACAGTCAAAACAACGTCATAGTCACATGCTGTCTCATTTATTGAAGTCTGTCCAAAAAGCTAGGATAAAGCATACAAGTACATCGTGGTACTACTAATTGCTACAGTATGTCGAGGAGTTCTTACTGATAATCTTGTTTGCTCGATCAATGAAAGCTTCATGACTGAACTCTCCAGCTCGCAGAACATAACTACATATAAATCATTCACCTGACGTGCAAATCTCCTCCATCTCAAATTAATGCATTATTTACCAAAAATTTCCAATATTATTAACATGTTCATGTGGCTGGACAAAAACATAAATTAGATAAAATTAAGTAAACAAGTGATTGATTGATTTAAATTCAACTAATGAAAATTCAATCATTTTCACTCATCCCCAAATGTCAACTATAATTTTGCGATTCACTACTGGCAACACGAAAACACTGAACACAATAAGATACTTTGCTGAAGGAAGCATTCTGAATGAATATTACATTAAACAGGTTTGACAGTGAAAGAAACAATCATTCAGTTATTTTTTTAGAGAGATATTTTATTTCATTATTTCGTTGGATATTCTGTTTCGAATGGTCACTTGTACGATCAGCTCCTATTATAAAAGCATTATTTATATACATATACATATCTGGAGTGGACAATTATGATATTGTGGTGCGAGATACTTATAAGTAGTATATGACGTGAGTGTCAACGTAATGTCTGGCAGCAGAAGATGGGGGAAGATCAAGAAAGGAAGCGTGAGAACACAATGGAATTTGTATGAAACGCATGAATAGTGAAATGTCAGACAATGGATTGATGATGGATTGAAGATTTGCAAATTAACAGTTTACAATATGGTTTTCCTATTTCACCAATTAACTCTGTAATTTTCGATAAATACAATTCGGTTGCCCACACCTGTGTTCTCATTCACTACAGTATGAATTAGATAACTTCTGCCAAAACATACTTCAAATTATTTTTGTAAATCAATCAAATATAATGATGAGTATTTAATAGGCCACCTTCCCTTAATCCTAGTTTTTAAAAAACTCCTGTGACGCAAGATATGTTATGTTTCTTAAAGTATATTACTCAACATTTGAAAAGTATATTAAGTCATAACTACTTATCATTGTTATTCAAAGTACTATGTTTATAAGTCTTTTGAATAAAATTCATGTAAAAAATAAAGTTTTTGTATGATTAGGTCTCAAAATGAAATATTTACTAGTTATACTCATTTTACACGAAATCACTTCAAAAAGTCTAATTAAATTATTATTGTTATTTATGACGAATACTGGAATACCATTTACCATATTATTGGTATGTCTCTATTGAGTGAGTATGTCTATAGTACTGATTACAAATATTATACAACATAGAATTTTCGATTGGTTAAGACATCATGTTTCACACTATATGATAATACAATAATCTTATAAAATTTGTAACGAATATATATATTCTTGGTAAATAATGAGGTGATTGATATGCAACTGGAAATTTATGTGTAATTTTGCTTTCATTACTACCGCTATGGAGTATAGTTCGTATATTCTACCAATGATCTTGTTAGTTGCAGTTAATATAGATTATGGTAAGATAAATTGTTCATGTTTCATTTGTTCACTTGATTTCGTAATATTGTTTTAAGTCATTCAATACTTCATCTGTATTTGTAATTAAGAACTGAACGACATTAGGACAATGATCAACATCAAATCTGTTTTTTTAGGTACACGAAGGAAAAGGGAAAGAATTTTGGTTAGTTAGATAAAACTTTGAAATGTTTTCAACAAAATGATGTATATCGCTAATTATTTTTTTTGTTGATAACTTTTTAATCTTATTTTGGTATTTATCAATAAAATAGACAAAGAAATTCAGTCAGTCAGTTGCAACGTAGAACTTCGTACTTATGTACATAAGTTCATGTTGCCATACCACATTATTAGCACAGAAACGCAAATCAAATCAAATCTCATAGTGATAAAGATAGTAGAGGTATTAATGGTAATGAAGAAGACTAAGGTTTGAAGATATTATTCAAGAAGTATAAATCAGTGAGATAAGGTTAGAAAGACAAAGGTAGAGGTGTTGACAAATCCAGAAGATTGGGATTTGAGAGAGCACAACGAATGGATACACTTGTGCCATTGCAAACGATTTTGAGCCATGTCGTTCAAGGTCTCTAACCATTGATGACTTTCGTCTCTCGGACCCCAACCAGGTAACTTACATCTACCAACATGACTTCATGGATTTCTGCCATGTTTTGCTTTGGCCACCCCTAACTTTCTTCCAACCTACTCCTACACTACAAAACAAAGCTCGTCGAGGCAGTCGATAGTTAGGCATACGTAACACATGTCCCAACCACCTCAACTGATGAAATTTCACCACTTCATCGATTGATCTGCCATCCTTACCTAGCACCCGTTTGCTAACGACAGCATTGCTTACTCGGTTGTCCCACAGTATACGAGCAATGCTTCTTAAACATCTATGATCGAGTACTAGTACCTACGGAAGTACTCTACTCTTAACGGTCATGTTTCGCATCCATATAGGAGAACGGAGTTAACTGCTGCGCAGTACTTCAAAACGTGTAGAATTACTCCAAAAAAACAACCATATAGTGATATGTCCTGATTGTTGGTCAATAAAATAATTATCGACAAAACTGAGTCAGTAAATCAGATTTTCCGATATAATTTGAACAGCTATTTCAAGAATATGAACTTTGAATCATTATTGTACAGTCACGAAGTAAAACTTGTCAATAACAGATATAGTTTGAACATTTCATGAATTTTTTATACAGATAAAATAACAATAGTGATTATCAACACATACAAAATAAAACTTCGTACGTAAGTACATCAGTTCATGTCGCCATACCACATCAGCACAAAGATGTAATTGTCAATTCAAATCCAATAGTAGAAGAGGTAGTAAAGGTATTAGAAGTAATCGGAGAGGTTAGGATGAGAAGATATTATTCAAGAAGTATGATTAAATGAGAAAAGTATAGAAAGTCAAAACTAGGGGGGGTTGAAGAATCCAGAAGATTAGGATTTGAGATAACACAAAGAATAAATGCACCGATGCCATTGCGAACGATTTTGAGCCATGTCATTCAAGGTCTTTAATGTCAATTAACCTATTTCTGTTTACATACCATTGCTTATACAGTGAGAACAATATTATTGATTGTATTGAATATTGTATGGAATCAACTGATAAACTAATGAAACAAACATTTATTATCCTAATAAATTTTCATTTATTTTATTTCAATAAGAAATTAAAAATAATCACATAATCCAGTGCTATGTATTCCGTTACAGTTAAGATTTTTCAATAGCCAATTTCTTTTTAATATATAAATGTTCAGATTCAAGAAGTATATTTGATTATGTTTTAATTATAACTGTAACTGAAATCTCCCTGGAACTACTACTGTCAGTCTCAAGCCTTAATAAATGCAGAAGATTACAGTCAAACTTTATAAAAAACATGAACCCGATGTAAAATTTCTCACTAGTTAAATTCAATCAAACCCTTTCCATAGAGTTAAAAAGAATTTCAAATAGAAGAGTTACTACTATATCGAAATGGGATATCTAAACAATATGCGAGAATGCAGCGGTCGTCTGTTCATACCAAGTAGCTCTGCCATTTGAAAAATTTGAGGCTATTTCATTGAATACCTTAGTTAACTGTCACCCAATAACAATATACAACCGAAATATCCTCTCTCATGTTTTCTACTTAAATGTTCTTTTAAAATGTTAGTGATATTCAGTTATATAATTTGAATAAACTCAATAAAATTATTGAAATTTTTTATGAAATACTGAAACTGATGAATAAGTTGTGGTTTATATAAAGGAGTTACAAGAAGTATGGTTGTTTTACTTTCTTACGAACAAAAAGACTATGTTACATAGTAGTTATACTTATTGCCCCCCGTTCTTGTCTGTAGTTGAAATATCCTCTCTTTGATAATTTTTCTTTTTATTGTAAGTGCATTCTAAATTACATAACGAGTATTAATTACGAGTGACGCTTCAAACAGACATTTTAATGTCTGTGACCGTTTTATTTGTTATTCAAATAAAAATTACCTTGATAATCTATTATCTCATTAGTTTCTGGTATTGAATTTAGCGTAGACACTGACAGAAATGACTAAAAACAACCAGTTTCATGAGACTAATAATCGAAACTGTAAACCATGTACCGATTTCGTAACCTTTACCTTGCCTCCTCACAGTGACATTATTCACAAGACACATTAGATATTAAGTTTGTTTTTCTAAGTTATAAAATCCATGTAACAACACCAAACAGAATAAACTTTGTGCTGTTAACCCCTCACTTACACTTTAGTTCGTATATGTTTATATTGTTAAGCCTTTCAATTAAATTATTTAATGGACAGTCTCATTCACTAAATAACAATTTGTCTAAATCTTTATATTATTAGTATCCTGTTTTTATAAACATGTATGTATGGAGCACGTGTTACAGCCTACAACCATAGTTCTCTTAATATTTTAAATATTGGTTGTTTAAATCACTCTAATAACTCGTTCACTTACATTTATGTGTGCATGTTAAATCTTATTCATTCACTGGTCTCATATTCTATCACCTTGTTTCGTGTTCACATATCTCTGTTCAGTATTCACTTAGTGTATTAGTGGCTTTGTCGTCTGATATACACAATATTAAATAGTAATCAACTGTTCTTATTTTCTTCTGAAATGTTTACATCGTTTGATGTTATCTAATAACGGTTATCAGGACGAGCGATTTACGAAGTATAATCCAATACAATGCAATTATGTGCTTCAGAGTAGTCACAATAAAATTTACGTGATCCGACTATGAAAATGTAATAATCATTTGAAAACATTCAACAGATACGCTTAATTATCGCTTACTAACTAATCAGTTTAGCATCCATATCTTCGTGACTGTGTTTTTTTTTGTGTTTTTGAAAGAAAGAATTTATCTATAGAGTATTAGACAATTATAATGATTAGCTAAACTTTTAATTCTAACGTTTGAATACATATATCATAATTGATAGTCTAATCACGTAAACAAAATGTTTATTCACGTTTAGCAATACATTAAATCGTTGAATAAATGATCAAATTGTTAACTTCATTTAGTTATGTTAGGGATTCACTATAGTTGAGAATTCTTGATAAATAAGTTTTTTTTCCATCACATTTGATGGTGAATCCAAATCATGTAAATTACTTATGTTGCATGATGTAGAATAAATAGTACGGTGCAGTGGATTGTGTTCACATTGTCTTCACAAAGCAGAAATTGTATAACATCGTGGTGGTAGTGTTTGGTTCTTTGAGCTGGGTGTTTTGGTTGTGGAGCTTTCAACGACACGTTTAAGGTCAACAGCAACCAATCAAGATCAAGGTTAACAGAACAAGCTACAGGTCATACTACATAGAGAAATTCGAATGCTTCACTTCTTCTATCTGAAGAAGTTTGTGCTGATGATGTTGTTCAGCAGAAGAACAATGAAAGCTCCACAACCAAAACATCCTCAGCTCAGAGAACCAAACACCACCACCACCACAATCATCCACCTGAGCTACAAATCTTCTCTACCATCTCAAAATCATATGAGCGTGACACGCTTCTTGTTGTTCGAAAATTGTACAACATCATCAAACAGAATCACCTCACAATGAAAATGTATGATGCTATTTTAGCAATGTGTACAACTTTGATCAGGAACAACTGAATAATCACTGAGTAGGTACAAATTTTATTAGTCTAGTCCTTATTAATGCTCCGGATGTAAAGGTACTCAGATACGTTGGTAGATCGCAAATTCACTGATGGTTGAAGATGGTCTACATTAAATCCTAGTCGGCCTACTCAGTGATTAGTCAGTACTAGGGGAATTCACTTGGGGCCTCAACAGTTCAGTAATCTCTAATCCTCTAGAAAGTACCAGCCAGTTCACTCATGATTACATACACACTTTGATAGCCATTGCCATGTTTCATGATAACTAAGTCCAGAACAGATTATTTTATTATTAACTCTGATTATCCTATCTTCAAATCTTTTAACCTTGTTGTAAGTGTCATTATGATAAACGGAATCATATCTAGTATGAATGTGTGAATGTTTCTTATGGTGTGTCTGACTTTCGTTTTTATTTAGAACTGCTGCAGTTTTATATATCTTTTTTGAAATAAAGTTTTGTTAGTGATGTTCTAAAATATCAGTGATTTGTTGAATCAATAATCTCTTGATCCAACTTGTGAAGTCTGTAGATTAAATTCATATCAATATGACATTGTGTTCAAAGATGGCATATCATGTCACCTAAGCCTTATAAAATAAATCACTATTTTTTTTGAGCTCAAAGTTTAAATACTGATAATAATATAAACTCCTTAATTTATCTACATTCTCTGTAGATATTTGTTCTGATTGTGACTATAGAACCATTATGATTATTCTATAATGTTGTCATCTCCTATTTCAGGTCTATCTTTGAGTTGTTATGAATGTCCAATATGCCCAGAACCATTCAACGCTTCTTCTTTATTGGTTATCAACAGCAGCGACTGTAATTGGTGTGCAGTAAGTTCAATGAATAAGACATTTTTTTGTAGATTTATACTAAATATTTCTTGTTTTTATGTGATAATAGTGAGCTAGATTATATGAGCTGAATTAATTAATGTTCAATAATAAGTAAGGCACTTGAATGCTTATAACAACAGAATTCGTATTATTAATTTACTGAATTTTTCGAAAATGTTACTAAGTATTTCTTAGAAGTAAAAGAAAAGCAATTCACCAGTCCCGTATGTTTTATAGAGCGCTATAATTAGATGGAGATCGTGTGTTGGTACTTACTTACTTACTTACTTACTTTCAACTGTTACCCCAAATGGAGCATAGGCCGTCCACCAGTTTTCTCCAACCAACTCTGTCCTGTGCTTCCCTCTCCAGTTCTGTCCAATGTTTGTTTATTCCTCCCATATCTTTCTTTATTTCTCGGCGTAATGTGTTCCTTGGTCTTCCTCTTTTCCTATTGCCCTGAGGGTTCCATGTGAGGGCTTGTCTCGTGACGCAGTTAGGTGCTTTCCGCAATGTGTGTCTTAACCACTTCCACCGCTTCTTACTGATTTCCTCCTCCGCTGCAATCTGGTTTGTTCTCTCCCATAGTACGTTGTTGCTGATGGTGTCTGGCCAACGAATCCAAAGTATTTTGCGTAGACAACTGTTAATAAACACTTGTATCTTATGGATGATGCCTTTCGTAGTTGTCCAAGTTTCCGCTCCATACAGTAGAACTGTCTTGACATTTGTATTGAAAATCGTGATTTTGGTTTTGGTTGAAAGTTGTTTGGAGTTCCAGATATTTTTCAAATGTAGAAATGCAGCCCTTGCTTTGCCAATCCGCGCCCTCACATTTAATACTCAATAAGTGTAACCATATTGTCTTGTGTTTCAATCTTACATGAAATTTATGGTTGTTGTCATATATATATATATATATATATATATATATATATCAGTTTTGTAGAGAGTTATTTGTTTATTGACAATTTGTAAAAGCTGCAAACATCGCAAGCATTTTAATAAAGTCGATCATTGATTGTAAAGACAGAAATGACAAAAATGTGACTATCTATCTATCTTGTATCCCAGATATTCAACTAACGATTAATTGATATTCAACTTTAAAACACTTCATTGTATACAATATAACTTTAAGGAAAACGTAATCTATGATAAAGTTATCTTTAACAAACAAAACTCAACAGAATTTGATCAACCTAGTCTAATATTTATACATTTTTGAAACCACGAATCGATCAATGATAGACCACCATTAGAAACCTGGAAGCGCTGGACGGCCGTTTCGTCCTGGTATGGGACTACTACTCCTGCACCCTGCAGGATTCGGAACCAGGACCTTCGGTATTGTGCGCGAACGCCCTAACCGTTAGACCACTGAGCCGGCGCTATCTATCTATTGTCTAATATTTATGTATGTAAATGATTAGCAACTTAACTATTAGGAAATTTAAATGAATTGATTGTACAGTATTTGTTATTATTGTATATTATTAAAACGTAATAAGGTCAGTTATTTTTAGGTTTCTCCTTTTATTGATTAACGCTTAGAATCTCAACCACTGAACCAGATATCAGAAGTGTTAATGTGCGACCTTAATTAATTCATGATATTGCTTCCAAGATTTCAGTAGTAGTAGTAGTCTAACTAAGATCTATTCACAATATAAACCTGAAAACTACACGATCTCCACAAATCCTACTTTTCCAACGCTCACCTATAGAAACTAATCGATAATTTCTTAGTCAGTAGTGTTAGAAAATAGTAATATCTAGAATTTTTTATACAAAATCACTGGTATAAATTACACACACTACGAAAAGCACCTAACTGCGTCACGAGACAAGCCCTCACATGGAACCCTGAAGGCAAAAGGAAAAGAGGAAGGCCAAGGAACACATTACTCCGTGAAATAGAGAAAGATATGAGAGGAATGAAGAAAAATTGGACAGAACTGGAGAGGGAAGCACAGGACAGAGTTGGTTGGAGAAAAATGGAGGGCGGCCTATGCTCCATTGGGGGTAACAGGCGTAAGTAAGCAAGTAAGTACTGGTATAAATTACGCTAGTAGTTGTTGTTGATATTTCATATTTGTAATAGTATTATTTCTATTATTCTTGTTGTAATATAAATATACATAAAGATATTTTGTCTTTTTTTCATAGAAAGTCTATCTTAAAAACTTCAATACAACATTGAGAGCATGTGCACCAAAATGTAACTTTGATTATTGGGGCAAACAATATATATCAATTTCTTATTATTGTTGTCAAACTGACTATTGTAATCAAAGTGTACAAACTTGTAGCACACATCAAATACTACTTATGATTGTTATAACATTAATTTGTTTCTTTATAAACAAATCTGTAACAAAATGAAATAACAATTACAGTCTGTTTGTTTGTTTTATTTTCAATCAAATGTTTCAATAGCCTCGCCTTAATTTCAGATTAATTTATATGTATGTGAGAGAATACTATTTTTTAATCCATCTATCTATCTATCTATATATATACATATATATATATATATATATATATATATATATATATATATATATATATATATATATATATATATATATATAATGTATACATAAAACTTAAAAATCATTCTGATTATCCTTTTTATATTTGTAAATCCAATTTTAACACTTTATTCATTACAAATTATGTATCTATATTGTGGATTGGTCGATGATTGTCTCAAATTTCATTTATATTGATTGTTTTTTTTTTTGTGATAAAACAATTCATTCATTGTTTACTAACATGAACATTGATTGATGTGTTTTGATGTTGAAATTGTGAAACTTATATCTCATCAACCAATGAAAAGTATGATTTGTACAAATATTTTTGTAAAAACTATAATGATTTACACAAATTACACAAATGTTTGAGTTATTATTCCCAAATATGAATATGAAATGACTAGAATAATGCAGATATATAGTTTCGTAACTATTCGATACATTTATGTAATCTGTATTGACAAATGAAAAAAAAAAGATGTTTCCCCTTTTTTGTATTCAGCCAGTTTCAGAAAAGTAATGAATTTGTGGTGGCCAATGTCGACGTGTTCTTCATAATCTTCGTAAAATTAGCTCGTCCAGACAATCGTTACTAAAATAGCGTCTGACGGTTTTTATAAATCAGAAGGTAAACTCGAAGTGTTGATTAATACGTTTATTTTGGCACACCACAAAAATGGGATAGAAGACCACAAGTAGACTGGGCAGGCACACTAGCGAGTGAATGGGCGAATGTGCGAGTGAATTAATAAGATTAAAATGTTCGTATATATACATAGGAAAATGTCTGAGTCATCGTGATATTTAAGAGATTAATATCAAAGCGAATCACGCCGAGAATTAGAGAAAGATATGAGAGGAATGAACAAACATTGGACAGAAATGGAGAGGGAAGCCCAGGACAGAGTTGGTTGGAGGAAACTGGTGGGCGGCCTATGCTCCATTTGTGGGAGTAACAGGCGTAAGTAAGTAAGTAATATTAAAGCGAATAGGATGAATATGCGCGTAGGCGGTAAGCAATACTCAGTCATACCAGCTTACACACAATACCACACAATAAAAAATACCAATGGTACATATAAATTATTGTTGTACAAATGGCTTGGTTAAATAAAAAATAATCGAAAGGTTTGACCAGATTAAATGTAAGCGAATTCGAATATATATGTGGAGGCACACTACAAATTCAATAATGAACAACACTTTCTATAAATCTATTCCGGAAAAAATCGAAATGTACCAGTGAATATTTGTATCGAACACGAATGTGAATGAATAATAGTTTTGTTAGAGTATCAAAAGCTAAACTTGTTTTTTTCTGATTTCTACAACTGACATTATAAAATATAACTTAGAATAATTTTAAAATAATATTCAAACGTATATATGAACTGTAAGCATCCCTAAAATACTTTTTCTTCATCAACAGAATTCTTTACAAATAGAAAATCAAGTCTCTCAACTTTAGTAACTATTTTTTGGTATGTCAAACTTAATACTGAGTTTTGTTTCTATCAAGAGATTGAGGTAGGCTCCATATTTTTATTCCGACTTGATAATTTCAGTAATGTTAGGTTGTTAAAACTAATATTATCGATGTCCACTTCGACTAAGAGGTTAAGTTAAAATGACACGCCATCAAATCTACTTATATAACAGAAGCACGTTAAAATCGTCTACCATACCTTATCGCCCTACTGATTACCGAAGATCACCTAAAAAGTAAAAATTCTCAATAACTTCAAGATAGAAACAAACTTGGATTACATTTAATAAAGAGTCGAGCAATGGTAAATATTCCCTAGTATGTCTACTGTATTTAACTGATCATGTAAAATAATTACATATGAAATAGTTCAATTTCAAATTGACAAAAAATTCTATGACCTCTTTACAAATCAAACATACTATTAGTTTTTATAATATTTACCGGCTATTATCAAAATATAACATTTGATCACATCACGAAATTACCATTTATATAGTTTGTGCTTCCAGGTTTCTCATGGTTGTCTAACAATGATTGATTGATGATTTCAAATGTGCAAAAAACACAAAAACTCCAAAACTCTACCCGAAAATATCGTAAAAGTGCTCACTAGTGACTAGATTTGTGAGGAAATTCTCGGAGTTCTAGTTGAGAAGACCGGACTAATGGAGTTCAACCCTGTTGGTTGTAGGCAGTAACTACCAAAGACAAATGGGTGGGGTCGCGCAAAATTCCGTAGATCAATCAAGGTTGGACATTAAGACTGTTAGATGCCGGCCCAGTAGTCCAATGGTTGAGCGTTCGCGCACAATACCGAAGGTCCCCGGTTCGAATCCTGCGAGATGCAGGGGTCATGGATGCTCACTGCTGATGAATCCCATACGAGGACGGAACGGCAGTGTTTCAGTGCTTCCAGGTTTTTAATGGTGATCTAACAATGGTTGATTGATGATTTCAAATGTGTAAAAACATTCCAACTATGTATCTGTCAAGCGAATTGTTAGTTCTAATGCATTGACTTTAGAGTATCAAAAGAACACTTACTCTCTTGAATGTTTAACACAATTAAAACGCATATTTTTTCAGAGGAATAATGGGAACAGATACTTTCTGAAATTGAAACTGATATTGATTAGTGCTAATATTTCAATAAAATATTCAATAATAACACTTTCAAAAGTATTATTTATCATATTAGTTCAAATGATATTTAAAAAGTGAATTAACATTCTAATTCAAATGAGTATTTCATGATAATAAAACTGATATTTTATTTAAGGCTGAGTAGATAACTATTATTTAACTATAGCTGTTTTATTTAAAACCATGAATCGATCAATGTTAGACCATCATTAGAAACCTAGAAGCACTGGACGACCAGTGAAGTTCAACCTGTTAGGGGGTGTAGACAGTAACTACCAAAGACTGTGTATGAGGCTGCGCAACTCCGTGAATTGATCGAAGTTAGACATTAACACCGTTAGATAACAGCTCAGTGGTCCGATGGTTAGAGGTTCACCTACAATACCGAAGGTCCTGGATTCGAATCCTGCGGGGTGCAGGAGTCGTGGATGCGCACCGTTGAAAAGTCCCATATCAGGATGAAACGGCCGTCCAGCGCTTCCATGTTTCTAATGGTGGTATAACATTGATCGATTCATGGTTTCAAATGAAACTTAACAATCTTCAGAATAACCCCGTAATACAGCTGTTTTTGATGATCTAATATATATATGAACTAATTGACGGAATACAGTTCTATAAAGAAGACAATTATTAGACAAGAAAATAACTAGGTCTTTATGATATGAAATTAAATAAGTTGCACTAAATTTTAACTATAATATTTATAAATTTTCACAATTTACGCCTTAAATAAATATTCTATCTTCACACCATTTAAAAGAATTGAATTTATTTCAATCAAATTGTTTTATTTTTTTTTTTCACCAATTCTTGTCATAAATAATCACAATGAATATATAGCCCAAAATTATTCGTAAAATAATAAGAAGAATACTAGTTTTCATCTGGTTAAGTGTTGTCAAAACATGTATTGATTAGAGATCTTTGATGAATAAAAGTTCACTTAATTGTTTTCTCATTTATTAGAAAAGTAATATACAGTACAGGGCGTAGTTTAAAAGAAACAAAAAAACATAGTAATGTTGAATTATTACTCAGATTTGATATGTAAGTGCTTTGATGTAAGAAAACAATATTATACACAATATATGTAAATATATATTATATAATCATTTTTTTATATAATACTAGTTTGATAAAATGCATTTGTCAATTACTTTACTGAAATTTGAACGTTCTGAATTCTTCATCATCTCTATCTTTCCGTTTCTAACTTTATCTCATTGAATTATACCCTAATCTTCTCTATTACTGCTAATCCTTCTACTATCACTACTACTGTGGTGTGCGCTACTTATGTTCACATAAGTAGTATATGATATCAAATAGAAATCAAACGTCTGACAGCAAAAGATCAAGAAGGAAAGAATGAAACAGAAGGCGATTTGTAGGTAACATAAAGTGAACTGAAGTCTGAACAGTCTAAATGAAAGAACACTGAAATCTGAAACAAATAAGGATTTAGTTTGCAAATGATGATTCACGGGAAGGTTTTGTACATATGCTTAACAACTCTGTAATATTCGCTTAAATATATATGCTAATGTCCTCACCTGAGTTCTCGAGCACAACACTACTATTGCATTCGAACTGACAGTTGCGTTCTGTGTGCTAATGCGGTATGCCAACCTGAACTGATGTACATACATACGTACGAAATTCTGTGTTGCATCTGTCTGTGTATCTGTCAATTACTTTAAGAATAAAACTAACCGTTATAATTCGTTTGACTGTTTATTTTACACTGAATACTTTATATTTTTACTGCTGCAGTTTAGATAATTATTTAATCAAACAAATATGAGACAGATAGTTTTATCGAGTCGGGTTCCTTTGAACGATATCCATAACAGTATTTGTTAGCAAATTATTTGATATTCTCATGTTTACATATTTCATTCTATTATTTTCACTAAAATTGAGATGAAATATTAGATAAAGGAAAAATTGTTCAGTATGGATTAATTTCCACCAGTCAGTCAGTCAGTTGCAACGTAGAACTTCGTACGTATGTACATAAGTTCAGGTTGCCATACCACGTCACCACAGAGACGCAAATGTCAAATCAAATCTCATAGTGATAAAAATAGTAGAGGTATTAATGGTTATGAAGAAGACTAGGGTTTGAAGATATTATTCAAGAAATATAATTCAGTGAGATAAGGTTAGAAAGACAAAGGTAGGGGTGCTGACGAACCCAGAAGATTAGG